CCTATTTATTTAAAATAAAGCCTATTTATTTATTTATTTTAAACTTGTCATATCTAATTTTCTTCTAATAAATGCTTTAAACAACTACTTTATAGGTGGATGAAGACTTACACCAAACAATAATATCAAGAAAGAAATGATTTTTTTTCTTATTTATCTGTACAAAGTTTTATTTATCACTCTAAAATTTTTGTATATATAGATTCAATTTCTTCAACAAAGAAACGTTAATATTGTTGTTCGCGATAAATGTGACCTTAATACTATTCGCATTCATGAGGTAAGCCTAAAAGTAACTAATATGCAAATGCATTTTCTTATCATTTTATAAATTATTTATAAATAGATTCTACTTATTTTTTTATAAGCAAAGGCAAAGGAAAAACACAAAGCGACATCAAAAGAGATAGAAAAGGCTATCCCTTCTAGCAAAGGAAAGGAACATGCAAATCCTGTTGTAAGGTTTCTTAACATTTTTAAAAAGTTTGTTTTCCAAATATTTATTAAAATTTTGTTTTTATATAGATTGACACATCTTCTGTAAAACATACAAATTCTGAAAAGCTTTAACCTACTTTTTTAAATAAAATTTTAATCCACTCTTTTGGTGTATGACAATATAATGTTTGTTTTTTTTTTTTTATGTAGTTATAATTTGATTGGCAGCAGTAGCACTAACTGGTGTGCATTTTAGTTTTAATTTTTTTAAAATTATAGGGCACTAGTTGGTGTGCATTATTTGATATTTAATTTTTTATATTTGATTTGTTTGAAATTGTAAAGTATAGTCTATTAAATATATTTTTATAACTCTATTTTAATCTTAATATTACTTATACCGTGTTGCACGGGTCAACCGCTAATATATATATATATATCTGCTCTTCTTGAATCTAATAAAATATACACAGGTGTATCTTTCGTACCTCGTGTAGTTGTTGAAATGGGTATTTTCCCTTTCAAAATCACAATTAAAGTTGTCATATATATTCTAATATATAATGAAATGAAATTTTCTTCAGTTGTACTATTATTGCGTTTCAACAGATTCATATCAATCCGATTTCAATTGCTTATCTTAATTTTTTAATAAATTAATCATTAATAAAAAAAAAATTAAATCAATTAGATAATTGTGCTACATGAGTCACGTCAAAATTATATTTGTCATTCATTTATTTTTTGTAAACAAAAAATAAATTATTTAATTATGTAACTACAATTTGATCAACAGTATAATTGTTTGCCTATATAATTTGGTAAAAAAATATTACAAAATGAATAATTTGAATGAATTCTATGACAAGGCACCAAAAGGCCAACAACACATTCGAGTTGAAAATATCAAGAAGAGAAAATCCCAATTCTTTAATAATTACAATGAAGGCAACTACAACCCATTTCATTTCATGGTTCTTTCCATCAACCTAACTGCATCAAGTCAAAGCAACCATTATTACAAGTACTGAAGTCGGTGTCTCCTTCTAATGTCACCCTCTCACCTGTTAGTTATTAAAAGTAGACAAAAGGAAAATTAAAGCTTAATGTGTAGACTAATACTATATACAGTAATTAATGCACTAATTAGTGTACTAATTGATAATGTGAGATAATTTAAAATATTTTTAATATTTGTAATTTATATAATGAGTGAAGTAAATAATAATGTCAGAACTAATATTAATACACTAATTAGTACATTAATTAGTATATGTAACATGTGTGATAATATAAATAAACAAACAAGGCAAAAGTTTCAAAATAAAGATTTTGACAATATATGCCCTGATGACATATGTTAAAAAGTACGAAGTGAAAGCAATAAATAAGATACAATACTTTTAAACTCTCTTAAGATATATGCTAAGGGCACATGTTAACGATACTCGTATTGAAAATCCATCATTCCATCACCAATAAATCATCAGTTAATCATAAGTTCACCACAACATTCATAAAACTCATATGCAATACACCAACCATCATAATGGCAGTACAGTTACAAGTCCTTTTGACATATAAAGCTTTGTCTCAACAAGTAGATAATCTCTCTCTCAACTTACAAAATAAGAAATCCCAATCATTAAAGGTACCCCTCAAAACAACAATTAATGACCAAGCAACTTGAGGCCACTGTAGATGAATTTAAATAATAATAATAATAATAATATAAAAATAAAAAAAAACCCATGAGATGTGCCATTCCCTAAGAACACAGCAGTCAACTTCACTAACCAAACAGCTTCTGCATAATACACCTGTCCTTTTTGGATCTCCTTTTTTTTATTCTAATTTTCAAAGAAGCCCGCCAACAATTCTCACAAGCTTTCACAAGATTAAAAAAAAAAGGGGGGAAAAAAAAAAACAAAGCCACAGGAAAACCTGAAATTAAAGATAAAAATAATATCAGAAATTAGTCCAATTTCCATGATATATACTGAAAAGTTGAAAGGTTCTCTAAATTAAAAAATAAATTTAAATAGTGTTGGGATTACTTGAAGAACCGACCCGATCAGCAGAATACGATGGGGGTGGTTTCGACCAGTTGGCTGTGGTTGAGATTGATGAATTTAATTCTTATCTCGGATAGATATTGAATTTAATATATAAAAAATCATATAATCGACCCAATCAACTTATTCATATGCGTACAACTTGAAACATGTGTGTTTATTTTCTAAATTAATAACTTGAATTCAGCTTTAAACAATTGTTGCTAAAGGACTTCAAAGAAGCACTTAGAACCTGTTTTTGAGGTTTAAGATCCTTGAGTTTCATTACTTTGGGTTCAAGGTCTCAAGGAATTTAATTGGGTGTATGAATATTATATAGATATGGTTTGCGTGAACTCCTCGTTATGGTCTTGCTTTGTAAGTTATTCATGTATAGGTATGGTTTGGCTGATGGTTATTCATTATATATATAGGTATGGTTTGTCTATGACATTTTTCTGCTTCTTTTCTTTTCTTTTTTTTTTTCATTACCAAGTGTCTCATTTGTCTAATAACAAATATCAAGTTTTTTTTTTTCATTACCAATTGTTTAAATTGCTGATTAAACAGTTTTTTTTTTTTTGGTCATAAAATTATGTTTGAAAAGCTTTAACCCACTTTTTTAAATAAAGTTTTAATCCACTCTTTTGGTGTATGACAATATAATATTTGTTTTTCTTATGTAGTTATAATTTGATTGGCAGCAGTAGCACTAATTGGTGTGCATTTTAGTTTTAATTTCTTTTAAATTGCAAAGCACTAGTTGGTGTGCATTATTTGATATTTAGTTTTTTTTTATATTTGATTTGTTTGGAATTGTAGAGTATAGTCTGTTAAACATATTTTTATAACTGCATTTTAATCTTAATATTATTTACACCGTGCGTTTAGATACGGGCATACGCTAGTTTTTTTATAACACATTGTACCATCAAATAATTTTTTTATAAAAAAAACCATATATATTGCACGGGCCAACTGCTAATATATATATATATATATATTTGCTCTTCTTGAATCTAATAAAATATACACGTGTATCTTTCCTACCTCGGGTAGTTGTTGAAGAAAAATGTTTGAGGGCTACAATTTTTGTGGCCACAATGGCTCAAAACTGCCAAAACGACGTCGTTTTGACAGTTTTAAGCCATTGTGACCCTCTAGCATTGTTGGTTGTTGAAATGCGTATTTTCCCTTTCAAAATCACAATTAAAGTTGTCATACATATTCTAATATATAATGAAATGAAATTCTCTTCAGTTGTACTCTTATTGCATTGCAACAGATTCATATCAATCCGGTTTAAATTGCGTATCTTAATTTTTTTTCAAAATCATGCTTTAATCTTAATTTTAAATTAAAATTAAAATTATTCTTTTATAACACATATTGTACCATCAAATAAATTTTTTTTTTTTTAAAAAAAATGTGTAATACACAGGTCAACCGCTAATATATATATATATGCTCTTCTTGAATCTAATAAAATATACACAAGTGTATCTTTGCTACCTCATGTAGTTGAAATGGGTATTTTCCCTTTCAAAATCACAATTAAAGTTGTCATGTATATTCTAATATATAATGAAATGAAATTCTCTTCAGTTGTGCTACTATTGGGTTTCAACAGATTCATATCAATCCGATTTAAATTGCTTATCTTAATTTTTTAATAAATTAATCATTAATAAAAAAATTAAATTAATTAGATAATTGTACTACATGAGTCATGTTTTCAAAATTATATTTATCATTCATTTATTTTTTATAAACAAAAAATAAATTATCTAATTGTGTAACTACAATTTGATCAACAATATAATTGTTTGCATATATAATTTGGTAAAAACATATTACAAAATGAATAATTTGAATAAATTCTATGACAAGGCCACCAAAAGGCCAACAACACATTCGAGTTGAATATATCAAGAAGAGAAAATCCCAATTCTTTAATAATTACAATGAAGGCAACTACAACCCATTTCATTGTTCTTTCCATCAACCTAACTGCATCAAGTCAAAGCAACCATTATTACAAGCACTGAAGTCGGTGTCTCCTAATGTCACCCTCTCACCTGTTAGTTATTAAAAGTAGACAAAAGGAAAATTAAAGCTTAATGTGTAGATGAATACTATATACACTAATTAATGCACTAACTATTATACTAATTAACAATGCGAGATAATTTAAAATATTTTTAATATTTGTAATTTATATAATGAGTAGAGTAAATAATAATGTCATAACTAATACTGATACACTAATTAGTACATTAATTTGTATACGTAACATGTGTGATAATATAAATAAACAAACACGGCAAAAGTTACAAAATAAGGATTTTGGCAATGTATGCCCTTAGAACATATGTTAAAAAGCTGAAAAGTATGAAGTGAAAGCAATAAATAAGATACAACACTTTTAAACTCTCTTAAGATATATGCTAAGGGCACATGTTAACAATACTCGTATTGAAAATCCATCATTCCATCACCTATAAATCATCAGTTAATCATAAGTTCACCACAACATTCATAAAACTCATATGCAATACACCAACCATCATAATGGCAGTACAGTTACAAGTCCTCTTGACATATAAAGCTTTGTCTCCACAAGTAGATAATCTCTCTCAACTTACAAAATAAGAAATCCCAATCATTAAAGGTACCCCTCAAAACAACAATTAATGACCGCGCAACTTGAGGCCACTATAGATGAATTTAAATAATAATAATAAAAATATAAAAAAAAAAAAAAACCCATGAGATGTACCATTCCCTAAGAACACAGCAGTCAACTTCACTAACCAAACAGCTTCTGCATAATACACCTGTCCTTTTTGGATCTCCTTTTTTTTTATTCTAATTTTCAAAGAAGCCCGCCAACAATTCTCACAAGCTTTCACAAGATTAAAAAAAAAGAAGAAAAAAAAAAAAAAACAAAGCCACAGGAAAACCTGAAATTAAAGATAAAAATAATATCAGAAATTAGTCCAATTTCCATGATATATACTGAAAAGCTGAAAGGTTCTCTAATTGCATTTTCATACCGCACATTTGCACAAAGAACTGCCACCCATCAGGCTGCAGTGTTTTCCAAATGACCACAGCATGAGCAGGCGTTTGTCACATATACCTGAAACGATAATAAAATCAGAGATGGAGAGGGTAATAACCGATAACCTGAAAGGAACTAAAGTACATTGTATTTAAAATGGAGGGAAAAAAAAGCTCAAATAGCGCCTATATATTCAAAACTAAACCAAGTTGACTCAACTTTCGCGATACAAAACACAGAAAATGGACTAATGCATCATTCACATACATGAAAAAAATTTCCGCAAATCCCAATTGCTGAAGGTAGTTCCATTTCCACAATCATTTGTTGCCCAAAAAGTGGAAGTGGGAGGGGAAGGAGGAACGGAGAATTAGATTCCACAATTTGTCATATTATAATGATAAACATAAGATCCAAACTTTACATTATTGAGTTGACAAAATTAAACAAGTTCTGATATGACTAAATTCCAAAAAATCTACAAAAATTGAAGAAAAGCAATTATCTGAATTAGAATTAGGCTGTGTTTGGATCAAAGATTTGAATAGGGGTTGTAGTGGGAAACGAGAAGGGAAGGGAAAAAAGTGAATGGAATAGAAGCTAATTACTTTTTCACTTTGCCTTCCCTTTTCTTTTTCTTCCATAAATCCAGGATCCAAACACAACCTTGTCATAAGCCAATAAGCTGGCTTTTTTTTCCCTTCCCAAAAGAGGCCAAAATTCCTGAGAACATAGTCAACCAAGTTGGACAACAAAAACTGCTGTTGTCATATATGCCTAAATTCAAGATTACAAAGCAGAGGCATATCTGAATTTATAATTTATATTTGAGTTGTGAAGAGAAACATGGCCAACACACGCCTAGGTACTCCTAAAATCACTGCACTTGGTTAAAATTATCTAAAACCTTTTTCCAAAATTACTAACTCCCAGAGACCATGGTCGCACAAATGAAATGACTATAAAAATCTTCTACATATGTTCTATAAGTAATACTACTGAAATTCATGTATCGGCAATCATGTAAATTCAATCATTTGGATTAACATAAACAAACAAATACTTGTAGTCAAAATGTACACAACCCCAATAATCAGCTTTTAGAAATTTCAACCCAAACCTGCTTCCATTGTGTGTTTCAGCCACTTAAAGCTACCCCTTGTATGTAAATGTAATACTTAATCCATATATATATAGTTGGGGCATTGTTCAGGATTTCAAAAAAAAATGGAAAGATTCACACAAAAATTGGCATGGATGTACAGTTTTTTCACAAGTTGAGCCTTTCAGTCACACGGCAATTCAGATTATTTAAGCCCAATGCAAGGAACATGATCATAACCATTACATATAAAATAGATAAACAAGTATGTGAGCATTAACAATACAACTCAAGAACCAAGTCATTACCTAACATATCATGGAGCATACTGTTGCCCAAAGTGCTCCAGAACAAATACTGAAGATTACGAAGGGCCTGGGACAGGACCTGAAGCACCAAAAAAGCACAATTCAGAATGTTGCAACTTGCAACAACAAAATATGCCAAGGTTTAATAGGAAAAATTTAACCTTTATCTGCTTATTCAAATAGGCTCAATCTATCTAAGTACTTCACGGGCCAAAATTCATCTCCGTATATCTGCACACAGAAAATAAAAAACTCAAAATAATTTTCAAGAACAAAAACGGGATATGGCTAGAGATGGACTGTAAAAGGAGATAATGGCAGAGAGTGGTCTCCTCTGCACTCAGAGAAGTTGATGAAATCCAACTTGCCTGCGAGTATTTTTTTGCCGTTGACCAAACTCATCACTCGCAACCTCTGCATAGAAGGGTTAGTTCAACTATGAGATAAAGGAAACTGATTAAGTCATGCTAGTTTCAAGTTTAGCCACTAAAATCAATAAATAAATAAAAAATCAAAAGGCAACGATTATATGTCTAACCGGGTCTCTGTGAAGGCTTCCACTCGTTATTTGGTTTGTTTGAATTGTTTTCTTTGCTGAAAAAGAACATGAAAGTAAAACATTAATCTCCCTTCACTCAAACTGCAAGAACAACATTGCCTATTCTCTTTCAAAGGACCAGGCTCTCAATTTTTTTTAATTAAAGCAATAACTGTAATTAGCAATCATGGCAGTTATAAGAAAGAACATAAAATCAGTAACATATTGTACCTAATGATATAATTCTATGCTTAGCTCAAGAAGGAAAAGGGAAAATAAAATAAAATATTGCCAAAAGAATTTTTTTTTTTTAATTTAAAAAAACCAGACATACAAAAACTGCTCAAATTAGAACTTAAAATGAAAAAAGAAAAGATCTGAGGCATCTTGGGGGACTAGATGACAAATAGGGGAGAAAAAAAGCGAAAAAGAGGATGCGTATGAGTTGTTATGCCATACTATGTATACAAACATAAACATATATATATGTAGAAACATAAACTTGGGATCTTAGTTGCACGAAGCGGAAGCGGGAGCGGGAGCGGGGAAGCGTGAGCTGATAGAAGTTTCTTAGGTTGGGAGCGCCTCGGGAAGCGGTAATATATATATATATATATATATTTTAATACACATTATGAGTTAAATAGTTATTTTTAAATGTATTTATTATTTTTATCTTAGGTATTATTTTTATTGATAATATTTTTAATTTATTTTTTATTTTTAATTGATATATATATTATAAATAAAAAAATATAACAAATAAGGAATAATAAAATATGTTAAAATAAATAATAAAAAATTGGATGATTTATTTTATAAATTTTATTAGTTTTTTTTTATTATATATGATTTAATTAGATTTATTATATAACAAATTATATTATTTATTATATAACAAATTATATTATAATTATATTATTTATTATATTCATTAAATGTTAAAAACGGGAGGGGACACAGATCGACGAGAGAGAGAGAGAGAGAGAGAGAAGAAGAGACGACGACGACGACAACAAAGAAGACGACGATGAGATGACGAGGAGATGCTGAAGAAGAGACAGAAGAGGAGATCGAGAGAGATGAAGACAGAGAGTGAAGAGGAGATCGTGACCAGATTGAAGGCGATGTAACAGAGATCGAAGGCTATGTAAAAGATCGAAGACGTGTCCGAAAAACCCATGCCCTAAACCAATGAATCCATGTAACAGATCGATGGCAAGACCAGGTTTCTCTCTCTCTCTCTCTCTCTCCCCTTTACGATCCTATCGTTGATTGAATCGCGTTTCTCTCTCCACAGAAACGCGATTTTTACACGTTTCTTTCTAGGAAACGCGGAATCGCTCACCACCGAGTTGCACGATTCCTGCAACTAAGCTTGGGATATGCCACATGCTAGGTGTAAAAAAAGGGACAAGAAAATTGCACCATAATATGCCACACGCGGGGTGAAAAAATGGGCAAAAGCACATGCAAGGACCCTAAAAAGCATTCTAAGCTTTCACTCTTAATATGCTTCCAGCTATAGGACAGCAGAAGAGAAAATGACTTGAGGAAGTAACTTGAGGAAACCATCTTAACAAATTGACACAAAAAAACAAAACTTTGTCGATCATCCATTCAAAAGTGATGTAGATGTTTTGTTGGCAACAAGAAGGAATCTTGTAATTGTTTTGTCGTTTTGTTGTTTTCTTGGAGGACTCCTTGTCCTCTCACTGTACTTCTCTTTTCTTTTAATAAAAGTTTCCTTCTTGTTGCCAATAAAAGAAAAAAAGAAAAAGAAAGAAACATTCAAAAGAAATGTAACCAAACGCGAGAACACACACACACACACGTGTATATATAATCAGAAGATTAAAACGAGACTAGAAACCAATTGGCAGCTAACCTGGAAGCTCCTGAGGAAGATGCCTGCCCTGATGGCCGGGAGTGGTAAGCACCATCAACAGTAATATAGGGTGAGCAATATGTTGCCCCCAAAGCTCCTGCAGCACCAGCCAAAACCGGTAGCCTGGACATAAAAAACAAACCACTGTCACCCCTTAAAAATAACAAGAACGACAAAAATGTGGTAGTGGTAGTGGTAGTGGTAGTGGTAGTTGTAATAATCAGTTAATATCTTCTGTAAAACTTGATGGGTTCATAGTACACTGAGCTTGTATACATACATACATACATACATACATACATATGTAGTGGGAGCTAGAGAGCTTGTATATACACAAAAATACCACCAGATCATGCCAGCCCAGCTAATCTAAAACGTAGTTTTCTGAATGAAAGCATTTAAATTTTTACTAATGCTCCTAAAAACTATATCAACTTAATAAGAAAAACATATTAGGAAAGAACAATTCACATGGAGCATTAGCCATATAAACAATTGACATACATGTAACTGTCAATCATTTGTTAAGGTCCATTCATTAAAATGACAAAAAAAAAGGTAGCGTTTGGTAGAGTTTTAGAATTATGATTTGAGAATAGAGTTGTATTTTGAGTTTATGAGTTTTGGAATTATGATTTGAGTGTGGAAAATTTGCTTGGTCATGAGTTTTGAATTGAGCTTGAAATTTTTGATGTGACATGATATTTGACTAAAAAGCTTGCACCTCATAACCAAACACACAACCCAAAATTCTATTTAAAACTCATAAAAAATTTTAAAAAATTCTGAAAATATCAAAACCCCGCCTGAAACGAGTTTGCAAAAGTGTGTGGAATTAATTTTTCAAAGTTATAACCAAACACGACACTTAAATATGAGTGTAAAATCATGATTACAACTGCATACCAAACACAACCAAAGTTTTTTTTCATCTGACTATTCTCTTCCACTGACACAAAACCAAAAACCAAAAAAAAAATAATTATGGAATAGCTTGAAAATATCTATTATTAACAGGTCATTCTCATGAGGCTCATATCTCCCACTCCATAAGATATATCATATAACTAATTAAAAAATTGACGAATTAATTATCTCCCTAAAAGCTATGAATCAAAAGAGAATTGATGAAACAAATAATATTACACTTGACAGAGGGAAAAGGTAAAATACCATGTCATCTCAGAATTTCCCAACCCAAGCTGTGGTTGAGCAACATAACCAGGGAAAGCCATGCCAACAGCAGGAACTCCCATACCACCTGGATGCTGGCCCCCAAACGGCATTACTGCATGTCAAACCATCACAAAATTAGAGCTTTTATGTGGTTGAGAACATTAAGAAAAAAGCAAAAGAACAAGGAGCAATAATCTTGAAACTTTCAACATCAAAATAACCAACATTAAACAACTAAATAGTCATCCCATTTTCAATGCAACCACACAAAATGATTTAAGCAAGCACAGGGGAGGAGGGGGGTTATTATGCTATTGATACTAAATGTAAGTAAACTCAGGCTTAGGTTTGTGCAAGAGATAACACAGAGTGAACAATTTCATTACATAGGTTCGATTATTAAGGAGGATCAAGAGTGATGCTTTTCATGATAGAATGTGGGCAATTAAGAAACAATAAATTTCATAAAATGAGTATGGCTAAGATGAAGATGCTTAGATGAATTTGTGGTACGACAAGAAAAGATAGAATTCAACATTCATGAAATAGTAAGAGTAGCACCAATTGAAGATGAGTAGATAAATAATAGACTAAGATGATTTGGTCATGTACAATGAAGATAGTGATGCAATTGTAAGAATGGGTGATATGACTCCCCTAAATGAAAATGTTGGGGAAAGACCTAAACTGAAATAGAATGTTGTAGTAAAATACAACATAAATTTATTTAATTTAACTAGCAATATAGCCCCCTGACAAAGCAAAATGATGAAAAAGAATTCCAGTAGCTAACTTCACTTGAATGGGATACATGGTTTCGTTTAGTTTTTTATTTGGTTTGGTTTCTCCCTTGACAAGTAAAAGTATAAAGCAGATTGTGAAGCTTCACCTGGCAAGAACGCAGGAGTTGCACCAAAGTTCTGATCACCATGACCACTGCCCATACTACCAGAAGTTCCCATGACCTGAGCCCCACCGTACAGAAAAGAGCTCATTCCACTACCTTGAACACCGCCTTTTCCTTTTCCAACCAATGCAGTCTTGGATTTACTTGATTCTGGAGGAGATTCCAATTCTCCAGATTCAAAAGAATTTATCGACAAAGCTGCCTTTGGTGGCGATGAAGTTTGAGATCCACTACCAGGACGCTGTCCCGACTGCTGAACAGAAGCTTGCAAAGAAGGTTGAACTCGGCTTTGAGCAGGATTTCGTTGGATAGTATGGTGTTGGGTTGGTGGAGAAGCTCTGCTGACTTGGTTATGAAGTGCTCCTGGTTGAAAAGTCATTTGCACAGAGGCTAGACCTCTCCCCTGCACCCTTGGCTGAAGAGGTTGAGTAGTATTGACTACAAAAGATCCAGAAGGTGGCAAAGGCAAGCTCGTTGAAGGTTTTCCAGTATTTGCAGAAATGGAATCATTGATATGAAGCTTTTCAACTACGTTCTTTCCTCTCATCATTGAATTGGATTGTGACATAGAAAAGTTCTCATCCACAACAGCAGACCGAGGGTTCCGATTGATAGTTCCAGCTTGTGCATCCCTTTTCTGTGTTAAAGTAATTTCCTTATTAGAACCAGAAGGGTAAAATGGCGGGGAAGCGGAACTCAAGCTTGATCCAAACGCTTGTTTCCTAGAAGAAACTGTATCAGAATCCGCATTTGATGTGGCTGTAGGTGCTCTCCCAGAAGTATGATGTGAAGTTTTCTCAATAGACTTCCCAGATCTACTACATACAAACAAATACGGAAGATTATTCAGAAAATCTTGATGAACCCAAAGAAATTCTATAAACTTGTTAATCTCAAACTTTCTACTCACTGTTTGTATTGCATTGGAGGTGCCTCGATGTTTTTCAAAGGCTCATACCTTCTGGGGCCTCTGCCTCTCACACTCTTAGGTCCGTTGTTCTGATTGTTATTGTTGTAGGCTTTAGACTTGTTACCTCTAGTATATCCACGATCTATGCCTCGATTTTTTCCACGAGCTCGATAATTACCTCTAGAGTTCCTTGTACCCTGGAAAATGTACTTAGGCATAATCAGAAGGGAAGACTTTTTATAGGAAAAAAATGGTATTTTTTAAGAGTTAAGAGCAACATTAATCAATCAATACAGCCTTCACCTCTTCATAACGCCTATCCTGGAGAGTCATCTCTTCAAACTTATCATGCCCCCATTTCCTGTTATCTTTTGACTCCCACAACTTCCTTCCACCAAGTGTTCGCCTGAACAAATACAATTAGTAGAATAAAATAAAAACAGGTCACTACTATTGAAATCAAAGCAACAATGAGTATTATGTGGAAGCCTATGCAGAAGTGGAAGAAACTCTGTTCATATAAAATTCTCATTACAGTGAGTTGCATTCAGCATTGACAATGGTAGGAGCAAAAGTGAGGGTAGACAGCCTACTTACCGCCTTTCCCAAACTATGCTAGAATCGGGAGTCGTGTGCACTGGGTAAGGCCTTAATAGAAGATGAAAAATGGGACAGGGGGAGGTTACAGAAGCCACTGATCCAATGCTTTAAAAGTCAGAATTCAAAAATCAAAGGCTATCAATCAGTCATTCCCTTCCTGCACTAAGAGCAGACATGCGCTGACCACACTAAGTGATGTGTCCCAATCAAGTAGGATCAATTACATGAATCCTTTTTTGCCTGTCCGCTCTGTCAAAGGCTATATATATAAAAAAAATTTAAAAAAAAAACAGCACTCAAATAGTACAAATTAATGTGTGTTTGGGAGGGCAAAGATTAGGTACACACCTAACCTTTGGCATAGTGCACAAAGTAGTTGTCCCGAGACTTGAAGTCAAGATTTTACCATTGAACCAATGGTCAAAGGCTATATGCTCAATTAAATTAAATTCAACATTCTGAAAAGCGGTAGCGGTCGCCGTAATGGTGGCAATGGCGCGGTTGCAGTTGTAGGGTGTAAAAGCCATAGCGTAACGGTTGCGGTAACCGGAATCGTGAATTCTTTTATTTTTCGCACAATTTAAAAAAAAAAACTTACCAATACGCTTATTTATTTTTCTATAATCATATTTATTGGGTTTTAAAATAAATATTGATCAATTTTTGTAAATTTTTAAGTATGATCCAATATATTTCATATTTTTAAATCACTATAAACTGAGTTTTTTACAGTTTACTTTAATAATTAATGATTTTATATGTCATAAATCCACATTACGCTTGTGACAAAAATTTTTTTTATTGGACTTAGATGTATAAAATTATTTTTTTAATTATTATACTTGTGGAAACATATACAAAATTGAACTTGAATAGTTTTAAAAAATAAATTATACATGCTAAAGTAATCATATAAAAATTAAAACATAAATTATAAAGTGTTTTTTTTTTTTTTTTTCTTTAGGTTTGGATCACTTGAATATTCGTTCTCTTTTTGGATAACCTGTAAATAAAAATAAAAATAAAATAAACTAATCAACAAAAATTGGCATATATAAAATATGTATTAAAATATAATTATAGGTGTTATGTTTTCTAGATATTTTACAAAAAATCAATTACTAAATATTATATATAAGATAAACAATGACAAAACTAAGAGGATAAATAAAAACCTCAATATATATATATATATATTTTAATCAAGCCATATAGATAATGACCACACTAATCATTATTTTCAAACAGTATATAGATAGACACACACAAACAAAATGGTTAAGTGATAGCAGCCGAATAGAATAGCATAAGTCTTACAGTTTCAACAAATTAATAACAGGTTCTTGATCTTCCCTCTTCTCTCTCTCTCTCTATCTCTTACTCCTCCATCTTCCCTCTTCTCTCTCTATCCCTTTTCCTCCATTTTTAGCTCTTCCCCCCCCGATGCGAAAGAAGCAGTTCGAAACCGTTACGTAACAGTGCGTAACGGGCCATTACAGTTGTTACGGCACCGTTATGGTCGCTACGATAGCCACTACAGCTGACACACTTGTGAATCTCAATCACACCGCAAAAGCAGGGGTAACGCGTGGTGTCTACCGCCACAATCGTTATGTAACGGCACATTTTGAAACCGTGTAATGGTGTCTAACGGACCGTTACGGTCGTTACACTTGTGAATTTCCGTCACACCGCTACAACGACCGTAACGGATGGTGGTAACCACCACTATAAAGTGTTTTTTTTTTTTTGTTTTTTTTTTTTTGAGTTTGGATCACTTGAATATTCATTCTTTTTTTGGATAACCTGTAAATAAAAATAAAATAAACTAACAAAAAAAAAAATTTGACATGTATAAAATATGTATTAATATATAATTATAGGTATTATGTTTTCTAGATATTTTACAAAAAAAATCAATTACTAAATATTATATATAAGATAAACAATGACAAAACTAAGAGAATAAATAAAAACCTCAATATATATATATATTTTAATCAAGCCATATAGATAATGACCACACTAATCATTATTTTCAAACAGTATATAGATAGACCCAAACAAACAGAATGGTTAAGTGATAGCAGCCGAATAGAATAGCATAAGTCTTACAGTTTCAACAAATTAATAACAGGTTCTTGATCTTCCCTCTTCTCTCTCTCTCTCTATCTCTTACTCCTCCATCTTCCCTCTTCTCTCTCTATCCCTTTTCCTCCATTTTTAGCTCTTCCCCCCCCGATGCGAAAGAAGCAGTTCGAAACCGTTACGTAACAGTGCGTAACGGGCCATTACAGTTGTTACGGCACCGTTATGGTCGCTACGATAGCCACTACAGCTGACACACTTGTGAATCTCAATCACACCGCAAAAGCAGGGGTAACGCGTGGTGTCTACCGCCACAATCGTTATGTAACGGCACATTTTGAAACCGTGTAATGGTGTCTAACGGACCGTTACGGTCGTTACACATGTGAATTTCCGTTACACCGCTACAACGGCCGTAACGGATGGTGGTAACCACCACAACCGTTACGTAACCATTACGTAACGACATTACGTAACTGTTGCGACCTCTTTTTAAAACTTTGATAAAATTAAATATTATTTTTTATTACGGATAGAATGCTGAGTTACTAAAAACAGCACATTCATAAAATAAACTTAATTGAAATAAGAGTGCTTACATGGATTTTTTATAATATAAAAAATCTCAAATTAAAAGGGTGCCAAGGGGGCATTTCCCAAGTTAAAAAAAAGAAAAAAAAAAGACGTCTTCAACAATTAATAATAGCTGAAAAACCTCACTATCTTTCCTATAAATTACAATCATAATTTATCGAACAATGCAACCACTTTGATTCCCTTTCCTTCCTATTTGCCAAAGAGGCTTTACAATTACCCGTACAGGCAGTACAACCATCCTATCTCCACTTTTTTATTAATGTCCTCCAAAAGTTGTAGACCTTCCTTCTCAAAGCCCCCAAAAGAGACCCCTATGCCACCTCCCTGGCCTCTTGAGCCCCCATCACAAAAAGCCTCCTTCAACAGTGGCAAAACAACCATAGGAATGCAACATTGAGAGTGTAACCTTTCATCACCAAGATTGCCAAACCCTAGTAAACAAACAGCTCTGACAAATATCCATCTTCAAACATCAAATCTGTGCATGCCACCTCCATATTTATTTTCAATGAAACATCCCCAACCCCAATCACCCAACTCCAAATTAGTGTTGCAAGAAGTCGCCATAATCTTTGACCCACTCTACTCCCTCCATCTTTGATAGTAGATCACTAGTGCCCTCCGTACACTCCTCTAGGTGATCCACCCCTTCCTCTTCTACCGTCCCAACCACTTTTCCCACCTTTCCAAGTGCTATCTGAAACAAAATCATTTTGGAACCCCCTTCCTTACCACCCTCTTCAACTTCAGCTAAGGCCCACCATCTATTGTTTAGAAAACATTGATCCATAACACCATCGGCAACTTGCTTAGATGAAGACGAAGCTACCTCTCCTCCATCACAGGAATCTACAGAACAATGTGTACTACATTGCGATCCAATGGAATAGCTAAAGACAAAGGCTAGGTTACTCCAATCTAAGATCCTTACTCGACATCTTGGGCTGGCCTAAAATGAAAAAACCCCTCAATATTGGGTTTAATTCCTAAAGGTGAAGCTTGACTTGACCCAGCTTATGAAAAGCCCATCAAACTGAAAGCCCACCTTGTGATGCCAAAGAGACGAGTCACCGGAGCCTACACACAAATTGGGCCTACATTATTTGGAACCCCCCACAGCCGATACCAAACACCTTGTTCCTACACAAAGTCTTACTGGAATATGAAATGACCAGCCCAGACCCAAACATCACGCTTGGCTCAAGTTCAGTGCCACGTAGCCTATCCTCAACCATTCGTCTATCAACGCCAAAAAGTTGTATTCCACCCTGTCTCAAAATTCATAACCTTACTGTACCTTCCTCCACATGTCGTCCATCCTCTAACCAACCCTACCTCACTCACATGCTTTCTCGGCAAGTACAGCTCATGCGCCAACATCACTTCCTCACACGACCCTGAGATTTGCACCGATCTACAATTGGAGGTTGCCATTGATCCACCACCTAACCATCATGCCCCATCTTGCACTCACCACTCACGTGAAAACCATAACCCTCCCCATCTTCAGACCCGTTCTCCAATCCACTGCTAGAGGAGGATAAGTCCCCAGACACAACCCTAGCCAGCCAGCCAGCCAACCAACCAACCAACCCCAATCAACCAATCCAAGCCTCCTTCACAGGTGTATCCATTAGCACCAATATGGCGAACAATAATGGGTTAATTGGCTGGTAGTACTAGAACCAAAAAGTAAGGCAGTTACTTTACGCAATTGCTGCTATATAAGTCTTACTCCAGTAATTTAAGTTAATACATATGTAGCTGACCAAGTTAAAATCAGTAAGCATTAAATGGTTCAAGTTCACATTTTTAAGAAAATCTTATTTCTTCTTTATGAACTTTGTCTTGTCTGCAGGACCACCAATAAACTTTATTCAAATGCATATCAGTGAGAAAAATATCCACAAACACACTCTACAATATAACTATGAAAATTGATGCTATAAACCATCTAGAATCAAAACTTGATGGCAATACCTGTGTCGACCAGCAGCATTGTCGCGAAACCTATCGTCGTGCATGTAAAAAGCACCCGCCGTTGGCACGGCAAAAGGCTCATTCTCTTTCTTCTCCTCTTCAACCTGATTCACTCCCTGAACCTCCGTCGATTCCCCGACAGATCTCTCTCTGTCCCCATCCAATTCCCTTGCCACCACTTCACCTCCAGCTTCCACAGCCTCAACCTTGTTCCCAACGTCTACATCATCTTTGCCTCCTCTCTCATCATCTTCCCCCACCTCCACCTCCTCTTCCCCAACCCCCAACTCCTCTTCCTCATACTCCTCCAACTCTTCTTCTTCCTCTATCTCCGATTCATCATCATCATAATCCGCCGGAGCACCCTGCCCCTCCGATTCCCCATCAGACGCAATCCCAGCCATCGAATCAACCCTCCTCCTCTCTCTCTCTCCCCCATCTCCTTCCTCGCCCTCATCATCGCTCGCCTCTCTCCTCCGCATCGTCAGCGACCGCTTCAATTCCTCCGGATCACTCTCATACTCCCCCTCTTCCTCCCCTACAGCCGCCATCTCTTCAAACAAACAAAAAAACCCTAACTTCAGTGAAAAAACATCAACAACCAAAAAAATCTCAACAATTCACGGACAAATCAAAACCCTAATTCAAGCAAGGAATTGAATTGGATTGTAAATTGGGGTGATTTTGGGGTAGCGATCTGTGCAAGGTTGAGTTAGGGTGTCGAAAACCCTAGATCTTTACAGAGACGAAGATGGGTTAGATTTTTTTTGCACTTTTTTGGGTGTGTCGTCACTCGCTTCCAACGGCAATCGGTAGAGAGAGAGCGAGAGAACATATACATGTATAGAGAGAGAGAGAGAGAGAGAGAGAGAGAGTCGTGAGGGAGGAGGGGTGTGTGGAGTACGACGGTGGATTGGAGTCTGGTTCGGGTCGTTGTGGCTCTCTTTCAAAAACATGTGTTGTGATTGGGGTCCATATTTACTCTTAATTGGTCTGCCTATATGTACAATTGTTTTGCAAATTAGCTACAACAAACATATCCTTCTAATCTAGGGATGACAATTTACTCGTCTCGATTTCATTCCCACTTCTCCGTCCCAATTTATATGAATTTTTTCTGCTCCCATAAAAAACATAAGGAGGAGTGGTTTTATTCGTACCCACTGGAGTTTTACCATTTTGTTTCTATCGTGTTTGTTGAGAAATTTAAAAAAGAAGAAGAAAATATATATATAATTAGATAAAATATAAATATGTTTTATTTTATATTTATCTTTTTTCTTTTTTTTTTTAAAATCATTTTCTAAATTCTCCAATCAAACATAAAGAATTGGACTTGTCTCATATTGAGATATCAACATGACAGAACTTAAGGGATATATAAGGTTAATTATGGGTTCTATTTCGATAATTCGAATCGTTCAATTTGTAAGGGCCTAATTTGTTTGGACAGACTGGATAAAAGGGATTGTAATCTAACGTACTGTTAGTCCTGTGATATATTGTCCTCGGACTTTTTGGTTGGACTAGATTTGTATCATATATTTGTTTAGTCACGAGATTGAATGTCTGAATTGAACTATTTTATCGAATCCAATATTTGATTGGATGGATTGAATAAAGATAAATGTTCAAAAGACTATTTTAACCTTGTAATTTATAATTTATATTTTATATTTTTTTATTTAATATATATTTTTAAATTTGTAATTTATAATTTAACAACAATAAAAAATTTTAATTTATAAAGCTATAATTTATAATTTATTATTATTAATTTAATTAAATTTATAATTTATATTTTTATTACATATATAATTTTAAATTTGTAATTTATAATTTATAAATGTTCAAAAGACTAGGGAAAAATGTAGAGAAAAATTATTTATAAATCCTATTAGAGAGACTTATGCTACATATGGTCCTACTAAAAAACTTATATTCCTATAAGTTCTGTGGGAAGTTTGTTGACATATTTACCCTCAATATTAGTTGTTAATATAATAAATAATGGCAAAGCCATATATAGGAAATTGAATGTTACCATAAATCATATCTATATGAATGTGAATTTAAATTTCAAAATACACATTTACCCTCAATATTATTTGTTAATATCATAAATAATGGCAAAATCATATATAGGAAATTGAAGGTTATCATAGATAATATTTATATGAATGTGAATTTGAATTGCAAGATACACGAACGAGCAACATTTTCATATTCAATTTAAAAAATAAAAAACCTATTAAGTTTGTGAAACGTAACGTGACACGTACGTAAACATTGAATACAACAACGTTACAACACAAATTCAAAGAAAAAATACAACCAAACGTAACACGCACAAAACATGACAACATTATAGATGTGGGTTAACATTACAACCTAAATGTAACATCATTGGAGGCTAATGAAAGTATGTCAATGTATGGATGTACCATTTTTCATAAACTAGCAACATTTTCACATTGAATTAAAAAAATTAAAAACCCATTAAATTTGCGAAACGTAACGTGATATGTATATAAACACTTAATACAACAACGTCACAACACAAATTCAAAGACAAATACAACCGAACGTAACACGCACAAAACATGACAACATTGCAGATGTGGGTTAACATTACAACCTAAATGTAACGTCATTGGAGGCTATTGAAAATGTGTCAATATATGGAAGTACCATTTTTCATAAACCAATAACATTTTTACATTCAATTAAAAAAATTAAGAACCATTAAGTTTGTGAAAAGTAATATGACCCCTACATAATATCAGATGCGATATTCAGATGCAAAGAAACACATTCGCATTGTAAAATGGTACATTCATACATTGACACACTTTTATTAGCCTCCAATGACGTTACATTTAGGTTATAATGTTAACTCACATTTGTAATGTTGTCACGTTTTGTATTTGTTACATTCAGTTGTATTTTTTCTTTGAATTTGTGTTGTGACGTTATTGTATTCAATGTTTATGTACGTGTCATGTTATATTTCGCAAACTTACTAGGTTTTTATTTTTTAAATTGAATGTGAAAATGTTACTTGTTCTTATATTTTGAAATTCAAATTCACATTCATATGAATATGATCTATGATAATATTCAATATCTTATATATGGTTTTGCCATTATAGGATAATATATTAATACCATTTATTCACAACTCATAGGACCTTGTGGAATACATTCCTATCTAAATAGGACTTAAAACTCTATAAGAAATTACACAGGACTTCACATTAAATAAGTTCTCCTAATGGGACTTATAAATAATTTTCTCAAAAATGTAATAACAACACTAAAAAAATTTAATTTATATATATTTTTTAATTTTTAATTTTTTATCATTTAATTTAACAACACTAAAAAAATTTAAGTTTTAAGGCCATAATTTTTAATTAAATTAAATTTATAATTTACAAATGTTCAAAGACTATTTTACCCTTTTTCCAATTGTCTACTAAATAATAGCATGAGAGTAAAATGGATATTTTACACATTAGTCCCATAAGATACCAATTCCTTGGAAATAATCATACCCCCCTCCCAGGATTATTTAGTCCCTCATATGAGAGATATGGAGTCCGGCCAGATTCTATGTCCGGTGGACTAAAATTGCACCAAACGATGGACATTCCTCTCTAATGGATTCAAGTCCAAACAGTGTTTAGTCCCCCTTAATCCCTCCAAACAAACACCCTTTAAATGTATATTATTCATGAAAAAAATTAGTTCAATCTAATAATTGTAACTTTTTCATTTTATCACATTTGTCTCCAAAAAAGACAAATAAAATTTTGAAATAAACCACTTATTTTTTTAGAGACAAATGCGATAAATGAAAATATTGTGATTGTCTGAATGACCTAAATTTTTTCATGGATGATACACATTGAGGACTCTACAAAATGAACAGTTTAAATCATTAAAATGAAACTTGTAATAAGACTTACGGGCCCCTCAAGTTATCTCATGTTGAGACGCCAACATGAGAAAAATCCAACCCTATATTAAATACATTACATTTATAACTATATATAATTTAAATCCAATTGACAACAATAACTCTACATTTTTCAATTTTTTATTTAGACTTGCTAAGATATTGGTTGCCTTATTTTATTTAGAAGTTGAGTTTTTTGAAAAAAATAAAATTAAGACTTTGTCTCAAATTTGATTTTTTTAATGACTTTTTGATTTTGAATTTTTTATGAGGTGAAAAAAATTAGTATGTTTATAAATAATTTTAAGTTGTATGAAAAAACATAACTAACTAGTGTGTTTAACTTATTGTTTTAATAACTTTTTATTTTTTAGCTTTTAAGTGACTTTTGAATTTTGATTTTTTTAATAATTTTTCTTCCCAAACTTATTGTGTTTCAATTTTTTTTGTCTTTTTTCCAAGTTATATATTCAGTCTGTTTGGTTTTAGTTTTATGAAAACTGAGTTTTTTTATTTTTCATATTTTTATGTTTTTAGTAAATATTTTAAAAAATTTATCTATTTTTTTACTTTTTTAGATGTACTTTACTTAGACGTATCTACAAAAGTAAAATATTTGTAAAAAAAATATTTTAAAAAATTAATAAATACATAAAAATATACTAAATTTTCATTTTTTTTTTATATTTTTGGTATTTAGTGAATTTTTTAAAGATTTTTTTCACGAAAATTATACTTTTTAATTATATTTATATTAGGTGTGTCTAAAAATTAAAAAAAAATTGCTTAAAATATTAAAAAAATTTAGTTAAAACAAAAAACTATAGAAAAGAAAAAAGTAAAATTTTCTAAAAAGTGTTTTCAAAAAATTAGACACAAACGTAGTGATTAATTTTTTTTGTACTTTTCAAGTCAACCTTGTGCGGATGAATTTAAAAACTAAACAAAATGAAAAAAAATGTTCACAACAAACAAAAGTAAAAATAAATAAATAAAATAATTTTTTTTTAGATTACCTCTTTTCGAAACTCTATCTAAGTTGGTCAAATTGGCATACAGTACAACTTTGCTTAATTTGATAAACTATTAGTGATACTCACTACGTCAAAATTGGGTTTTAGCGGCGGTTTTTTACCGTCGTTAAAGGGTCACATCAATCAACATCTCCTCTCTACTTTTTCTACACATAATACAAAAAAAAGTCAAAAAGTGCACTTATTTAGTCTTCCCAAACTAAGCCTAAATAAGATTGTACTATGATCGTCTTTTATAATTTATTTTTACAAAAAATTTTAATTTTATGTTTTATATTAATTAAAAAAATTTAGTTAGCTTTTATTGTCCTTTTTGAATAAGACAAATTATTCCCCGTCCCCGTCCCCCACTCGGTCCCGTCCCAGCAAATTAGGAAATGGGGATGGAGGACTAAAAACACATCCTGCGGGTGCCGTTGCCATTCCTATTCTAATCAAAGGCATCCATGGGTATGATGTGATTGAGACTTACATAGGTTTATGGGTCGGTTGGGTTTACAAGTGAAATCGTCATTCAAATTGACTTTTTTTATTTAAAGTTTCAATCAACTAATATCAACCTCGAAATGAATCTTTCGAATTAGTTTAGTTTATGAGTAAGAGAATTGAATCATTGCTGACAGTTTCATGATATTAGAAATTAAATTAAATCATGAAAATTTTAGTATCAAATTAGGTTAAACTAGTAAAACATGATTCAATTTGATTTGATAATTGAGTTGCGACACTAATCATTTTTTTGTTAGTTTACTATATGGTTGACTAACAAATGAGAAAAATTATATTGCAACTCTAAGTCTTAGGGAAGACATAATCGAACTAAATCAAACTAATAGTTATGTGTCTCAATCAAATGGGGATTGAGTATATGAATTCTTTTTCATATTAGCATTCAAGTTCATGAGGGATTTGATGAAAATATTTACGTATTAACTATCAGATTACTTGATACACAACCCTCTTTTATTTGGATTTGAAGCCAATTGTATAAAAGATTAGACATTAAGCACAACACAAGAAGTTCTTAAGGGAGACAATAAAATTTCTAAAATTTCAAGGGTAATATGTAATCGATTCAA